ATATATATATTATATTATTATTATATATATATATATATATATATATATATATATATATATATATATATATATATATATATAATTTTATTTGACCGTTCGTTTCCTTATTTTCATTTGTCAAACGTCCAATGTTTATTTCACAGGAAAGAAACAGAAGGTAAAAGAACTATTTCAGCTGACTCAAAATCTCTGGCTCAGCTTAAATGTTGCTTATTTCTGTAAGAGAATGAAATCCATCCTCTTACTATATAATTAAATTTACATGTTTGTGCTTAAAAGAAGAAGTTCATGTCACGAATAACACCTTTGCAATAATTGTTATTGACTTTAAATGTAAAAAAATTCCCATAGAGTTACAACATTTCGAAGTTTTGGTGCTGGTACAGTAAAAATTTATGGAATAGAAGTAAAGCAATAAAACAACAATGAGTAATATTTTGTACTGTTGAAATTAATTTTGAGACTTTTCAACGAAACACATTCGAAATAACGAATTGGAGAGTGATGGAATTCTAAAATAAAGTCCATATTTCCGGTTTGCAACACAGAAATCAGTAACCGGTTCCGGGCAACAAATCACAGATATGCAAACAAAGACACTCGTGAACAGATGTATTGCATATGCATTATCTTTTTGAAAAAAAGCACAGAGCTAAATTACATACAAAACCAGTTATAAACTGAATGGTAGCATCGCAGCAATTCACCTAATTCGCCGATACCTGTCACTCAGATACTTCCGTTAGTGGTGACAGGAAGCAGATCAGATCTGTGAAACAATTCCATTGCATTGTTGTTCCGCTATTTTTCTTATCCGTTAAGGTCTATGAAATGAATTCCTATAATGCTGAGTAATTTATTTACTGTGAGAGATCATTTGTATCGATCACTGATCATTTCCAATAAAATGCACCAACGGATTACTACTGTCCTTTTTTACAAATATCTAATATTGCATCCTCTCAACAAATAGACCTGAAAATTGTATCCCAGTGTAAGGTCACCAAATCAGGCAAGGTGAAGAGAGGATCTATATTTCAGATGCCTTCTATAGAATTAAGTAAATACTGTAATTATGGATCAGTTGATAAAAATTAAATAATTCAAACTACCTACAACCTAATTATCGTTGAACTGAGTCAAACAATGCGCTGATTCACATCGGAAACCAAACACGGTTTACCACGATTTTCAGGAGAAGTGTTGTAAAGTAGTTTAAGATGTCGAGTGTTTCACATCACATCGTGGGACATCTGGAACATTTTCCATTAAACACTAACAGTAAGCAAAAAAAACGCGGAATTTATCTATGAACTATTCCAGTTTATGATACAATTTTACGATTTGCATTCATGAATTCTACCCACAACAACCCTAAAAGTATTTAGTGATGAGGCTGAAAATCTTTTATGTGTTATTAAGCGCATCAAACATATTTTTCAGTCAAGTTATAAAGTTGTTCATTCTTATCAGCTTATCAAAGGCATGCGCTCATGCATCGTCCGCATTATAGCTGCTGGTAAATCATGATCAAATTGTCATTCTGTGTATTTCCCCATAATTCTGAAACTTTTCCCTAATCGAATTTCCAAATAGAAATGAAAATTAGTTGATTTGCTACTAGGATTTAGACTGTCAGATCCTGAACAGCTCCAGCAGCCGTCAGTTAATAAAAAAACAAGCAAATATCCAAGCACAAACGGAAAAAAAGTAATAAAGACAATCTTTCTAAGCTCCACAGTCCAGTGACATGTAAGGGTATTCCTGATTTCTTTATCAATGGATGCTGCATCAAACACTCAGTCATTTTAGCTTTCTTATGATGCCAGTAAACTGATAAAGAATAAGCCGCATATTTTCCTGGTGGATAAGCAGGAATAGAGTAAACGAACTTGAGTCTCAGAAATACAAAATCTGAAAATTGAAAAAATTTCACAAATCAAAAATACATAAACATAGGTTTTTTAAGGGAATCAAATCAAATCTAATCAAATTGCGGGCATTCCTTGCATCGACAAAAAGGTTTAATAATTTCTTCAGACTATTCTTAATTCCTATATTAATGTGCCTACTAGAGATCAACGAGAAGTCCTCATCTCTTGGAATGAATATTGCACCTACTACTTTGAGCTTAGCTTTAAAAAATAGAAGTACTACTTTGCTTCTAACACTCGTGTTCAGAAATTTGCTGTTCCATCTCTAACGGCTCTGTTTCCTAGTCGTAGTATCTTCAGTCGAGTGTTTTATTTGTCGCTGCTTGTGGGTTTGTCATATCATAACGCAATGGGGAATGTTAATTAGCACCATATACCGTAGCACTTTTCATCAAGCGTAACGGGTGGGACGTTGATTCCGATATTCGGCTTGCATTCTATGCGCAAATCCATCAGTTCACTGCGATGTTAAAAAGGAAAAAAAAAACTACTTCGAAGAAAAAATTTTATGCAAAAACGATGAAGAAAAACATTAAAGTCATAAAAGTTCAAGAAAATGCTGAAGTCATTCATGAAGAAAGCAACAAAAATGAAAGTTTTTAAAACAGCATCACTTTCTTTCGGAAAAGAAGGAAAAGGAAATAAGGAAACAATACTCCATAAATATGTAGCAAGACATAAAAGTAATAAAGAATGAATAAAAACAGCTAATAAGAGCCACACAGACAAATTATCTTAATGAAAGAAAATGCTCCTATAATTCGTAATTTTTAGTAAATTGCAGTTAAGGGTTACAATTTATGCCGAATACTGATTGATCCAGCTGATCCCAGCTTATTCCACGTATTGCGTGATTAAGGAAGTTTTTATACACTTCTTTTGTAATTTAGGGTTATGTACAGACAAATCCCAAGTTTCTGCCAAAACATGCACATATGTCGGCTTCAATTAATACATTTTTACAAAATTTCCAATTGAAAATTTCAAGAAGAAAATATATACAAAACAAATTTTGGAGAGTTCTCAAACAGAGGCATAATCTGGATCTTTACTGAGGGCTTCACATAACAAACTTAAAAATTCTGTGAATAGATCAAGATTTTGAAAAACTTGAAGGGAAGTATTCTGAAACAGTAGGTTGAGGGAGAAGTTTCAGTAACTTAAACAAATTTTTGTAAAGAAACAAGGAACCCAAAATACTTGTGAAAAAACTGACGAATGATATAAAGTAAAACTTCAATAATCGCGAGATGAGCCTGACACGTGACTTCCACTGACAGCAATGAGATCTGTCAGACGAGAAAAATACTTGAAACTTTCTTATACAAGGAATTCTAAACTTAATATATTGATTTCAGTAGCCTATCCGTTCTAATTTTTTTGCCGTATCCGATAGCTCGGTTGCAACTACCGATGTCACTGCAAAAATTCAATTTCGATTTTCTTAAAGTCTTTTCTTTAGGAGTTCAAAGTCCAAACTTACGGTACTTAAGATATAATAAGTTTGTAGGTAATTAGTAACAAATTATAGAAAAGGAATAAATGAAGGGCAGATTTGTTGCATAATAGATATTTGCTCCAGTAACACAACGCTCAGCCTACCTGAGAGTTGGAAAAGGCAGCAAAAAACAAATCTTACTTCGATTCGAAGAAATTGGTGTTTTCGGTGGTGAAGGGATCGGTGTTCGAATTTTCATCAATCGCTCAAGGAAACGATCTAACTGACTAAAACGTATATTATCATGCAATGTTTCCAGTGAACGAAGTGGAGGCCAGAAACGACGAATTTCTGAAATGGTAAAAGCCTTGCCTGGATTCATGCAATTGCAGAATGATGATCATGAAAATGAATAAAAAACTTACCTCCCACAGATATCTCATCTTCTGCCTTGTAAGTTTGTAACCGTGGGGCACTAGATGATCTTGCGATTACTGCTGTAGACAAAACTGCTGGACCTGCTAAGAAAAGGAATTAAACCTAGCCAGAAAAAACATTCGGGGTTATCGCTTACAAGTTTTCGTCAGAATGTAATAGATTAAAGGTATAATTGGTATTAACAGGAGTATAAAAGAAATCCCGGTTGATATACACAGTGGGTGAAATAAGCATCTTAATGGAAAGTAATTGAATATCTTTTTAAAAAAGGGAAATAAAATATCTAAAAGCAATTCGAAAATAAGGGACTTACTGTTGGATAATCTTCGTCGTGCTGAATCATTCGATTTACCAAAAAGTACATCTGTACTAATTAGACGGTTATCCAATTCTAAATAAATCGTTTTCAAATAATGTGGTGATTAATGGTATCAGAAAGTTGACCCCCAATGAGAACAAATAACACTAGAAAAAATGAAAGACAAACCTGTTAAAAAACTGACCGTATGATGCTTGAAGCAATAAGGAAATCTCGGTCGACGTGCTAAAGCAAAACATTTCAGAATTCTTAAACAAATCGTTTTAAAACAGCTGTATGCAATGTATAAAGCCTTACTAAACTTAAGTGGGCTCATATAATACATGCAACATCAGAATCATTATGATCAGTTCAAGCGTTGGAATCAAATCACTGCCCATGTGTTGCGAAATCGAACGCACTTCACTCAGTAATTTCATTAACACTCCAACCACTTAGCCACTTAACCAACACTTCAAATCATGGTAAGCGCCGATTACTTACATGCAGAACCAGGAGAGTTGCGTCCATTTCTTGGATCATTGCCTGCTTCCGCAGCTGCAGATGCCGGATCATCCGGACTTGCAAAATCCCAATTAATTTCCGCTGTTGATTTCTTGCAGGACATATCGCTCATCGATTTCATCAAACCAATGAGATGGCTTTCTGCTGAAGTAGTACCATGCGTCGATGTCTCCATGTCCAGGTCGCTTATTGACGAGCAACTTCCTGCGAAACTTCGAGATTCTGCTCTAGTTTCGCTGTTTGTTGCAACACGCCGCCGACTATGATGTAAACTTCCAGGACTGTGTCGAGCCAATTCGTCCGTTGCTGGGAAAATGAATGGAGTTGAATTTCAAGCATCAAAAAATTTACTCCAGCTGAGAACTCATCCATTCGAGATCAATCTTAAGTGTAATATATCCTCTGGCATTCCAGACCACGCAATCACACGATTCTTTTGAAATTAAAAAAGAAAAAAAAGCCACCCACTAAACAGTTCCATATATCCATCAATCAGCTCGGGTGAGATAATTAAATAATTGCTAAAGCTAACAGACAAAAATGTATTTTTAATTTGCTTATTACATTATGTGTATCAAGAAAAGAAAAACAAAGCTCACTGTATTGACCGGAAGCAACTTCATCGAGTGCGACCAAATTGACACTTTCATCATTTAAATCATCTTCTGAATCGTTCAGTTCTAAACGTTTCTTGGTAAGTGCTAAAGCTTGAGCAGAGGCTTTGCCAATAGTAAGATTATTGAGACTGCTGGATGAGCTACTTTCTGAATGGCTTCCATCCGTACCATTGTTGACCAGAATTCCCGAAAAGGCTGAGTTCCCAGAATCGGTTATTCCCTATAAGAGAACATAAACGATAACTTAATAAATGACGCGGACTCAGTTTTCTGCTTTATTTTATTAAAAGTCATTGTCTTATGTGTTAGATATTGAAAATAAAAACTCAGATTGCATCGTTTTTCATTAAACGATTGATAACATGATACGTGAGCACAACGTGAGGTAAATTGGTTAATACGGATGTTGGTCATGAAAGGATATAACAAACATGAAAGGGAAGTTAAGGTTGGAGAGCAGTAACAGTAAAATCAAGATGATTAGCTGTTAAAATTCTAAAAATCTACATCGTGAAGAAGCAAACAGATTATACCTTTTCACCCCCAGCAACCCCCACCGATGATAACGAAGCAGTTGAGGTTGCACAGTTTCGAGTCGAAAGCTTCGATCTTGCTCCTGTTGGTCCCGACGATTGCTTACTACTTGAGCTGAAAATAAAACCATCAGTATAAAATGTATGAAACAATGACATCAAATATCTCTATTGTTTCTCTAACGCAATATGATATATTCTGAAACGTAATGACAAACAATTTAACTTCTGAAAGGTAAAGTCACAGGGCCTATCAACCATCGCAGTGAAAACAATACATACTACAACATCCAATATAAAAAATGCAGCAAAAGCTGAACTTAATTATTGCAATGCACTGAATATAGTTTCATTGAACGAGTAATCCAGCTACTGATAAACAATAATAAATCAAGTATTTCACATAATGAGTTTAGTGATTTAATCAAGTATTCCATATAATATGTAATAAGATCATTGTGTTCAAGAAAATAATGAAACATAATCACTTGCTTAAATGTTGGCATGCTTCGACTAACTGAAACTGTTATCGACAAAAACTAACTTTGGAAAGCGTGTTTCATAGATACGTTCCTTTTCAGTTAAAAAGCAAGGATAAAGACCCGGTGAAAACAGTAGTTCAATATGAAAGCGATCAGTGCCTTGTTTCGTACTTGTTGTTCGACTATCTTCATATACCATCAAAACCACTTGTGTCATATAATTATATTCAGTAACTGATGACAGGAAGTGCATAGCGCGCTGCCATTTCTTATCATCTACCTACACGCAATACTTTGAAAAGAAACAACAATAGTGTCACTGTCAAAATTAGAAAAGCAGAAGTTAAATAAATTACTTAAATTTCTCAACAACAAATTTTTAATATTTCAGTAGTAGAAAAAGACCCTTTTGGAATGGCAAGTAAGAGTCATCAATGCAGAGTATAGAACTAACAAATGATTTCGGCATGCCGCTGGTCGCAGTTATGTGACAAAATATTTCCGTATGGTTATGTGTAATTGTCATAAGAAATGGGTGATTAACATAGCAAGCAATAACAACATTGTAGAAGTCTAAATAATATGAGGAACTAACCTTGCACAAACCACCATATTTTATCAAATTCATTATGGTATGTATATGTGATTCGCTCGTAAAATAAAGGCGAGTGCGAACATGCCGAAGTGGTGTGGCAATTCCTTGGGATGCTCTGAAATGTAATTAAAACTTATGCAATCAGTCTTGAAGAAGTTCAATGTACAATGGGAATGTGAAACAAATACCTTGGGTCCAGACGAGTTTGTGTATCATCTTCACTCGGATTTTCGACGCAGTGATAAAGGTCGCTTTTTATTTTTTTCAGTAGTGGAGTGCAGACATGTTGTCCAATGATTACTTTGCTCTTTTCACTTATTCCATATTCCTGGAAAAGCTTTCAAACACTAAAAACTTGACCACCAGTGCTTTTGATAATCGCTCTCTCTTTCGAAGTCAATAAGAGGTCGATAAGCTCAGAAAGAGAATTTATATGAAAACAGCAGTGAGTGAAAAAATGATCAAATAATAGTCAGTTAAGGAAATGTTAGTTCAGTAGGATACGGAATGAATCGAATATAATTTATATTCAGCGATTTATGAAAATATCCATGCCATAATCGGAAGACTACCAAATCTGCCATATGACTTGTATTTGTTGAAAAAAACTTTCGAAACCTGCGGAACGACGATATCCGCCATATTTTTGGCACATAAGTACATTCTTTCAAATTGGCCTTCATTACTAATACATAGTTCCGGATTATGTTCCATATCATATTTGATGTTGTCGTAAATATCAGGAATTTTGGAAATATCGAATTCCACATCACCATTTTTGTTAACTCGACGGAATTCTTGCAATTCTTTAGCCCAGCGACGTTCTGCCAAGTCCCAAGATTCATTCAAATACAAGGATCGATCTTGAAAAAAACACATTATGCGTAAAAATTTAATAATACTGGGAAAAAACTTCGGAATATTCAGAAATTTCAAAATTCTCGCTTGAAACAAACTTGATTTGTTGCATTTACACCATTGAATTATTTCCACCATTTGTTGCACATAGCTTGCAATTTCTTCGCACATTTTCCGAGGATTCTTGATAAATTCCATGGCATTCGTAAGAGAACGAATACCTGATGGATTCAAATTTTCATGATCTTCTGTTGTCCAATCACGATTTACCTGCAAAATAGTAAATAAGCATTTTTTTTTTCTTCGATTAAAATTTATAATCCATCAATTCACATGAAGAAGATACTTGTAGCGCTGAATGAAGGTAACATTTCAATTCCTGTTGAAAATCTCGCGCATTAACATCATCGTCCAAAAGTCCGTCAGTGTTTGCTGACTTAACCATTTGCATTAAAATTGGTGTAAGTTCACCCTCTAGTGCCAAAAGACCCTAAAATATTAGTAATATGAATTTCCTGAACTCAAAAGTGTCTATCACAAAACCTGATTCACCCTCTTTCATTCTTCAAAATTTTAGAAACGATGATTTATTCCAGCCAAAGAATGAATCATTATATGCCATACCTTGGCAAAAGCAGCTGCAGTCATTTGAACACGTCCTTCGTCAGATGCATAAATTTTCAAATCGTGTCTGTAGGTACTGTGGAGACGAAGAAATCCCAAACCTGAATTTTAGTTTCAGTAAGTAAAGCCATCTTCGGAAGAAAATGAAACAAAAAAATAATGTGCAAGAAAAAAAATCGTTTTAAATTATTATGTCTCAACCGTTTCAGAAAGAAAAACATACCTTGCGTATCCTCTGGACAGCTTTTACCATCAGTTCTCCGGATTCCAGGATACAAAGTTCTGAATAGTTTTCCAAGCGCTTCTGCCTGTAAATTCCCTGAAAAAACTTCAAGTAAAATGCTTCCGTTAAATTACAAGTAGAAACGTTAACTGAACAATCTGAAAGGAAAATGTAACCTGCAGTGGTCAATTCTCCACCCCATTTCAGAATTAGCATAAGTGCTGACTGCTGATGCATTTCTTCATCATCAGAGCTTCTGACTTCACGTGGCTTCAAATACTTTAACTGCACTTTCCTATTGATGCCCGAAAAATGACCATACCTTCAAAAACAAAAAAATTGCAGTACACACAGAAATTTTCAATGTGCTGTAATTTTAAACATAAAAATACTTACATCTCAAGAACAGTACGCACTTGATCCCATTTTTTGATTGCTTCTTCACACTGCTCCAAATCTCTTTCAAGTTTAGGAGAACTGCCATCACTATCTTCACAAGATTCCATTTCTTTTAATGATTCATTACGATGCACCTTGAAAATGGTAAGGTATCTTTTGGCAGCTCTAAAAAAAAAATTATTGAACTAGTAGGATTACCCAACAATGTCGTTCTTACTTGCTGCTCATGAAGAATTTCGCGGGCAAGTTCTAACACTTCCATAAGCTGATTCGGTCGTTTCATTTTGATTTCGTTTTTATTGTATCCATTATACTTTTTGAATAAATCGAAGAATCGCTGATCCGTCACAACAATCTATTGATAAATACCGATGACAGAATCAATACGCAACAAGGAAGCAGATAATTCCACTTTATATTATGACTGATCATAAGAACTGAAGTACTGCATGCAAGACATAACGAAAGAAAACAGATGCGAGCAGCCAGTTGTTCATTTACTCTAATGATTTCAACAAAATAAGGATTAATGTAGCAGAAAAACGACAAAACGTGTTGAGGTAAATCAATTTTTATGTAACTTTATGAAAAACATTCCGACAATTTGTTATAATCATTCCTTTAAATATATAAAAAATTTCACACAGCAAGTATAACGTCACCTTCATTTTCTGTTTTGGAGTCCGATCACCATGCCTAATAATGGCAATGACACACCGTAATTCCATTATTTTCCCACTCGGTGTTGAAACCAGGGGTGGGTCATCTGCAAGCCAGTCGAAAGCTGATATTCATTAAGAAGTACAATACAATTCAACTGCATATCCAGAAACGAACAGAAATAAAGAATTTATGAAGAGATAAGAAGCAACCTACCATCTTGATATGGTATTTGCCATGGTATACTCATCGATGATGCCAATCGCCGTAATATAGTATTTCCTAGAATTTTTGCTGTATCCTCATAATACTTTGTTGAAGTTTTCACAAATGAAAACCCATTAACATCACACACGAAAGATTTGCCATTTGCACGCAACAAATCGAAGCCACAAACAGTTTGCTGTATGAAAAAAGCATCTCATTAGTTGAAAAACCACCTATCGCCGTCTAAATGAGTGGAGTAAGCGTTGCGTAAATCAATGCTTCAGTAACATTCTGCAAACTTACTCCAAACGCCATAACCACTTTTCTTGCGATCAGCTTTTCCTTACTGCTTAAAATAACTGGATAACGAACTTCTTTTCCATGTGAATCACGTTCAACTTTCCCATCCAAACCAGGTGCTTTCCTGGCTTCTGCATGAGCATAATACGGACCCACGGCATAAACCTGAATCGAAATATTTAGATAAACAAATAAGCTACCACAGACCTTCAAAATATAAATTCGACTTATCGTTTAAATTAACTACCACCAACCCATTTATTTCATTAAAAGTTGGAACAACCTTAACATCAGTGCCGTCTGCTGGTATGAAATCTTCATAAATATAGGAACCTTCCCGACGAACTGTGCTGACGGGAGAATACCAACTGCTGCGATTGTTTATCTATAAAATGCAAAATAAGTTTTTGAGAACAGCCCTTGAACAGAAATCTCAACTGATTCGAATATAAAATCACTCACTCTGTTCTTAAACATTTAACAGAAAAGCGGAAAAATTTTTCTTCGCGATTTTTCAAAAGTTAACAAAAACTAAAATGAACCATTTATAGCAATAAGCCACGGTTCAAAAGTAATCCACTGGTTATTTAGCTATTTCTTAAGATGATTATGAAATAATTAGCCATATATTATTTTTATTGCTTTTAACAGCTTTTAACCTTGCTCAGATATTCATTTACATAAAGTTCCACTCACTATTCTGAACAGCAGCATCAACACGCAAAATATAGTATGAAAGAGATAATATAGATTTATGAACCAAATTAAAACACAATGCATGGAATACTTACTAAACAGCTTTTAGTTTCACTATGGTATTTCAGATATAAAAACACAGCATCTTAATAAAATTCAAAGTAGTCGTTAGTTCACTATTAACTTTAAATTTAATATTTCATCGATATAGAAATAGCTTTTGCAGTTAAGAACAATTATATTTTTATATTTGAAAATACCCATTCATGTAAGATCTGGAATCTTATATGTGCATAAAAATTATTGTATCTATATGCTTGAAAGAAGTGGTTAGTTTCAGACGCTGATGTATATATTTTTTTCTAACTTGTATACATCAGCATCTGAAACTAACTATTATTCCTATTATAAAGGCATTTGTAAATTTTCCATTCTGAACAATTTATACATCTAGCGTAATCTGGATTATGCTTATCACCTTTCTGAACAAACGCTGTGAGCCGCCACCAACGGAACTCGGATAATAGATATATACATTATGATCTTCGGCAGACAATGGTTTCTCCACAAACGGCTTGTTGAACATCATTCCATTGACCTCGATATGATCGCTAAATTCCTTCAACGTGCCTTCTCAACAAAATTTTTTTTTAGAAAACATCGAAAATACAAATAATAAATATGAACACAAGATTAACAGCAACGTAACAGTAATGATATGACGATTTGAAATTGAACTTACCAACTTTTCCTTCCTTATCACGTAGGAGAACACCATGACGCGGATGCTCAATACCTGCGCGAGCCAAAGTTCTAAAAACTTTGCGTCGATCTAACTGAAAGATTTTTTTAAATTTAGTGATAACAAGATGTCATGTTAAAAGAATAAAAGACTACCAAAGACTAGGGAATCACATCACTACATAAGTATACAGCTACTGCACGATACTTACGTCGTGTCATTCATCGAATGAATCACAGATTTACAAAAAAGAAATAAACTGTAGCTGAATTAAGAAATTAAACTGAAACTATTTTACAATATTCGAAATAAAACCCACCAGATCATACTGCCTATGTAAGTCGTTAAGTACATATGGATGCCTTAAACGTTCATATTCGATAGCTTTATGCAAAGGGAAATCAGTTGCATGAAAACTGATCAAACAATCACACAGCGGCCATCGTTCAACTGATTCATTCAATATTACCTCTTCAGGGAATACCACAAACTCAAGCCAATCCTGAAATGTTGTGTCTCATTTCCCCTGTATTGAATGTGTAGTAATATCGCATAATAGGCAAGTAATGCAAAATGTGAACTACTGCATCCATTTGTTTGAAAAGTAAATTATTGAAGCTGCAAAAATTTCAAAAATTATTATATTACTGGAACCATACCGCGTAGTATTCAACTATTTTTGTCATGATTTCTTGCATCGGTTTGCTTGTTGCCTTCCTTTTCATCGTGCAAACTCCGATTATTATCTCGAACAAATATAAAAGTGATAATAAAACAATTGTGTTTTATTTTTCTAAATCCGACTCCGAATCTTACACCGAACCTTACTTAGAAATTCAAACCCTAAGTTACTATTTTTATAAGATCAGTAGAACCGACTAATATTTAAAAGGAGCAATTGAAAAGCATCAAAGATAAAAAAATGCTAAAACAATGTGTTTGGAGGCTTTGACATATTTCTGAAATTTAATGCCTTAGAACATTTCATTTGCCCACAGTTCATTCCACTTCTAGACTTTACTAGCAATAAGAACTGTTTAACGCTGTCTAAATAAGAACTGTCACAATAAGAACTGTCTAATCAAGAATACTTTGATGAATGATTGCAGGACACGCTACTAGAATATTCCACGAGCGCAATTTATGATGCCCAATGTCAATACATTCATTTGGATTAATATTCCGAACCTTTTCTTGCCAGGGACTACTTTGGCTTTTTTATTTGTGGCATGAAATACCAGGTCCAAAAATAATTAATTTTAAATAAACTTTAGTCGAAACTTTTAACGTTTAGTTCTCAAACACTGACGACAGTAGCTTCGTATGTTTCGTACTCACCGCGGTCCACCTTCCTAGGCCATTTTTAGTTTTCATATTTTTAGTTCTTTTTTCCCCAAATCACCTTTGGAATTTCTGCTTGACAATCAACCAATAAATGATCCAGAAATGGAGAAGCTAACCTTTTTTGCTGATTCACGACTCGATAATATTGCCGGCATGACGCAATGAAATTTCTATGCTTCATTAAAATAGAAATCTGCGACCACGAATAAACAATACCTAATTACATGTAACAGTTAATTACTCTCAAACTGAAGCAATTTCAATACTGAAAGCGTACATTAGCCTGAAGATTTCCAATTTTTAGGGCCCGGAATCGTGGCAATTCAAAGAACATTTTCCCGGAAAATTAAGATTCTGACCGTCACCAACTATAGGTTCCTGGGTGGTTCTAATTGATTTACAGTACGAATTCCTTGCCATTGATGGATATACAATTTTAATTACATTAACTCTCCTGCAGTCTTGCCTTTCTTCTCGTCTACTGAGTTATACAAAAAGCACTAGCGAAGCGTGCATACGTCTGCTGGAACAGGTGAGTGTCGATTAAAACAAATTTATGCTCACTCATTCGAAGTCAATTCCGTTAGTAAGAAAAAAAAGACATTGGCAGTAATAAATTTACACAATTTATACCAATAACTGAAGCTAACTCCCACTTAGTCGTTCGGGAAATGTAATACTTTATATTATATACTGTTAGTTCACATCTTTCTGGATTAATGTTGAGGACTCTAACACATCAAGCTTTATTCAAGAATTCGATCCAGAGTCCTCACCACCATCTTACAAGCCCTAACTTTACCCATATCGCAAGGAGTAAATTTTCCCCAATCATCCGTGGTTGGTACACAAGTCTACTCCTCAGCTATAACCCAAGCCACTTACTGATTACGGAAACCGAAGCAATAGGCCAATCTGGTGCATTCAACCGCACATCCTAGTTCTAGTCTTTCGTAGTATTTATTTTCATTACTTTTGAAACCATGGCATAAAACTGATCGACCGGTCACTTCAAGTATTTGTGATTGTGCAAAAAACTTCGGTAATCCGTAGCAAATGTAAGTGAGCTCACAACCTCGGATCATCATGTAAGGCATTAAAAGATAGTATGGATGGTAAGACAAATTGACAAGAAAGTATTACAGTAATTCGTGAGAAAAGTAATTTCATGACTTAAGCAAAATTTAATTCTGGAAAAAACTTGCAATGAGTCAGATTATCTAAAAAAGTCAAACCACCAAACCAAATTTTCGGAATTGAGAAAATGTTTATCATTTCCAAAAACTAAAGTAAATATCCAAGAAAAAAAAGTCCCTGCAACACTAATAAATCTGCATTAAACCGACAGCTTTCGAAAGTACAGATTTTCCTGAAATCTTTAGTTCCTCACACTTTCCAGCACACAGTTCCCTACATAAAGTATCAACATATGCCCAGTAAAAAATCATACATGACAAATAAGTCATCGACTCATATTCGCCAGAATACAAGAAAAAAAACAAAACAAAAACAAAAAAGAAACATATATTAATGGATTCAACAAATTTTATTCAGCAACTTACAAAGTGATAGTTTAACAACGATAATTCAGTCCCTATTACAAATCAAAGGAGTCGAACAGATAATTATCAGGAAAAATCCGACATCAATTTTGAAGAGTCATCTTGCAGGACTAATTATCGAAATATATAGGATAAAAAACAAGTCAAGAACACATTTAACGCCACTGTTGTCTATTGCTCCCGCTCCGGCGTACTACTTTGGCGTATTTGTGCAGCAATTCGATCCAAATCTTTTCGTCCCTGAACACAATCGTTAATTGAAAACCGGTGAACTAATAAAGTTGATAAAAATATCGGTTTTATACAAAAGATATGCGACTATTCCATAACTAGTCTTCTTTTTTCACTTGAAGGTCCTTCGAAAACTATTACTGCGCAGCCGAAGAGTTCTTCGTGCTTACATGGAAGCTTTCGGAATATAATGTAACTATATCCATACACACTCTTAGTTTCAAATATAAACAACCATGCCTGCCGGGAAAGTATTCGGCCATTACTTTCCGGATGTTTCTCTACCCATTTTATGGCTTCCAGTGTTTGAAGAGCTTTTCTAATAACAGAACCAGAAGCTTTAGAAAAATGATTTGGTCTTACTCCTCGTCGTTTACTTCCACCATAAACGCGTCGTAATGCACCAACTCCTGCAAATGACGTTCTATTCGTTAGGGAAAAACATCGTAAAATACAATGCTTTATGTCAGATACGGTCCCTGACATCGTTCCACCGCAGCGTTAAACGAAACTTGCATCAATACAGAAATATATCACATCAGTCAACTAATCAATTCAAGTAAGGTTTTCTGAAGATCCGTTGATTATTATTAGTCTTGTACTCTGACTAAACATAACCTGTTGGAGAACGAATATAAAGACGGCGTGCAATGCTAGCAGTTCTCGTGTAGTACCAGTCGATATCAATAGGTGCAAGTTCTTTGTAACTCCCCATTTTCACAAGATCTGACCAATCAGGCATCTTCACTTTTCCACTTTTTTTTAGAAAGTGTGCAATGTGTTTAACCATTTCATGCTGATCAACATCCTTAACACTTATTGGTTTAACCATTGTCTTTTATTATTCGCTGCCCCTCCAAATTCTGAAAAGATATGTCTGTTAACGACAGCTCAAAGACGGATCAGCTTCAAATCATAACTAAGATAACGAATATGTGCCAAAACTGAGACGAAGTATTTCTTAACAGTTCATCAAAACAGCAATTCGTGATCATATGCATATGGTATGCTACTGGAATAGAAAATATTCATATTTTTAAACGACGGCTTCTGCGTTATATGCAATGTGTGGAAATAGTATTATAAGAAAAGAAGACAACTAATATGTTACAAAACTAATATTACGTCAAAGAGAAAATTATTGTGTCACAAAAAAATTAATTGTGTTACACCGATGAAACTGCGATTGAGTCTAAAGCACTAATAAAGAGCCACCAACGAACATATTTCAAAAACAAAAAGGAGACAACCACATATATAACTGGAGTACGACGCCAACATGTTCGAGGAGAAAAACCTGAAAAGTTTAGCTACGACTGATTCCAATATGCTAAAGGCAGAACCGATGTACTTTCCAGCACTTATAAATACGGGAATACTCTCCTTTTGAACAACGGCATTTTAGATACAGTCTGGTAGAGATGTTGCAATATTTCGAATGTTAAAGAATATTCCCCAAACCGTCAAAAACCTTTACAGACTATAACACATACCAAACAACACCGCAACTCATTTCATTCCTATTTCAACTCATTCAGTAAGGTGGGCCCTCTGGTGCGGTTCGTTAAATCTCAGTCCAGCTCACAATGAAAACAGGGAAGGTTGTATTGGACTGCACAGCATGATTACGTATTGCTGAAATTTGTCAGGTTTCTTGGGAAGACTGGGAACAGGCGGACTTGTGAGATGAAAGTTGCCTGAAAGTCTCGCCATTTTAAGCAAAAATGCCGGCTGTAACATATATTTTTAGAAAGACGTACAGGAATTTGAGACAGAAAAGTATACAGAAATGAGAAATTTGAATGGTTTATAAACTAATCATTATGCGCAAGTTATATAATGAAATGTTAATATGCCAAAATCTTGTAACACTCGAAAGACGTATTTTCAAATAATTCATTACGTTTAAATCAAGATAAAGATTCTTTTCTAAACAAATTAGTAAAAAATATATCGTGAGAGTAAGAGATAACTTGCAGGGATTTCCAAGAAATAATATGAAATAAATTCAATTCCTTCTGCATGGGATCAGTCAAACAAAATAAAAACCGTTACAATCTTCTACATTAGAAGATTTTATACTGGTTACAAATGATGCTGAAGAAGGTACTTATCTCTTCTCTCGCTGCGATCCAACTTATCTGGTGGCAGTTTACAGATATTTATAGATATAAAGCATACAGATCCGCAGTAACTAACTTTGCAATCGAAATACCACGCTTTGCCCGGAATGTGACCTGATGACCTGCAATCCACACAATTATCTTCGAACAGATCAGTTCAACATCAAAGTTCTTTCATGGATCTAAAATGCACTAACGCATTTATTATGCACCTTGCACAATAAATTTTTCATCCTACCACTCCATCCTGTCTCAGTAATGTAGATGAGGCATCTTCCCGCTTGAAGTCTCACAATATTGCTTTTCGTGATCATCAGAAAAGGCAATAAGAAATAATTCCCTTCATTTTGCAGGTGAACCGGCATTCAAAAGGCCTTTTCTACCGGAAATCGCAATAATTTATTTTCACAAAACATAGTAAATTATGAGAAATTGCAAAGTGGTACAAAGACTAACAAAAATTTTAAAAAAATAGACAAAAGCGGAGTTGGTTATGTTTCTCGGAACCACGACAAGAGTACTTATTTTCGCCTCTGAAACGGTTCATAAAGTCTCTCTCAAAAGTAAAAAACTAATTTCAAAGTGAGCATGTGTGAGCATCAATAGCTCGCATTGTAATTAAGATGCTACAGGCAATTACAACTGTGATAATAAAATAATACAAAACAGTAAGCCAAATACTTGAGGGACAATCCGAAACAAGTGAAAAAGTGAAGCACGATAAAGCAAAATTCCAACACTTGTACCACCGATAGCTTTCCAAACGAGAAAAGATGATCTGCGATAGTGCCAAGCTACAGATTTTTAAAATCCACTGGAAGGAACCTATATTAAATATCGCCACAAATTTTTGAGGGGAGATAGTGCCCCTTAAATGCAATAATAAAAGAAACAAAGCCAAACAATTATCACTGGACATATTTGGGAGAGAAAATCAACCAAAAATAAGTTTTTGAAAAACTGCAAATTTCCCAAAGTAAGAAATCTTTACCAGTCCCTTGGCCAGTTAAATATGAATCTCTACATTTGAAACTGTTTTTGTTAAAAAGCTCAAACGACTCGTGCATAACTCGATCAAATTCACACTGATAAAAGAAATTATGAAACCGAACCAGATTTTCATCAACAATTTACAAGCTGTAACACAAACAGATACAGCAACACATCACCACTAATTTGAATTAATGATAGTCGATTGCTGTGTGGTAATCAGATTCGTCTGTGATGAATTGACCTCCGCTGATGCTACTGCCCGTACAGTTGCATCTACAGATCCACGTGCCCGTGCGCTTAATTCTGAATTGCCATGTCCACGTACTGTTGAATGCGTTCTTTCGTGTTTCGTTAAATGATCTGATCGCATAAATTTTTTGCCGCAGTGACCACAAGCAAAACGTTTCTCACCTAAAAAAAAAAATTATTTCATACCAAACTTTCATTCGGGGTTCAATTGAAAAGATTCTGAAGCTAAAAAATGAAGACAAACCAGTATGTGTCCTACGATGCCGTTGCAATTCATCGGAACGTGTGAACCTCTTTTGACAGTGTGCCCAATCGCACGCAAACGGTTTTTGTCCTGCATGTCCTCTTAAATGCGCTCGCAAATGTGATGTTTTCCCGTAGGTTTTTTCACACAAGTGACAAATGTGCAAACGCTGCTTTTCACCACTTTTCACCCTTAAAGGTGAAAACAATGCATGATTTTTCTGCCTGAACACTGTTGAAGAAACAAAATAAGTGTAATATTAAATCAAAAAATTTAGGAGCTGGAAATTCTAAAATTCCTAATTATTCTCTGCCAAACAGAAATTAGAAAGCTTACAACTTATTGTTAGTACTGTTTTGACAGTTCGGGCAGTTGCACGCAGTTCTTTTGGGTGTTTTCTGCTGCTTATATCCTAGTTGGTGGCCTACAGTTGAAGCACTTGGTGTAGCATCGAATTCATTTTGACGACTGTAACGATATCCTTGACTGGGTGTCTCTGCTGTATCGCCTGCTGCTGTGGTAATTATCCACTTCTGGGGATCATTTGGGTCTTGGATGAAATGCAAATTTCCTACAATACATGCTCTCAAGGGATCTCAAAAGCGTAAAACCCTCCCTTCTTCATCATTATGTTTTTAGTGGTAAGAAGCAGTGGTACCAATTTTCAGCCATTTTCAGCGAATGAGCTATAAACATATATGATGACTATTCTGCAAAAATAACACAACAGAGTTAGCCTAACGGAATGCGTATTTGAGAGTTTTTTTCAGAGACGGTTTGAAAACCAATCACTTCAACGGTTTGTCCATACTATAAGGGTGATAATTTAATTTTTCCATTCCCTCGCATTGGCGCCAAATTATCGTTTGATCAATGAATTCTTCTTCCAATTTATTTTTCTAGCTATAATATTTTCGCAAAAAACCCACAAATGAATTGTATAAAGTTAAGAGATAAAATTTAGGTTTAATCAGTAAATCCCTGAAGAACTGTCAAAATCGATAAACAAACCTAATTTTATCCTTTGTTGAGTGATGACACCATTAGTACTACCATCATCTATCTCTTGTTTCGTATTTGTCTGTTGCGGTTGTTGCATTTCCACATTTCGCATTTGCTGTAGAGTTTGCTGCTGCAGATGATGAGGTTGCGTATGTAAACTGGCTAATACTGGTTTCGTATCTGGAGCCGGATGCATCTGCAGCGGTATAAATGCTATCTAAAAACATTAAAGTGATCGTAAGTCTTCATACCCAAAATCCACAGTTTTACTTTAGCAAAAATTAAGACTCTTTTATGCCAATAGGAGGATTTAAAATGGTAGGATAAATCCAACGGGCCAAACTCCATTAGAAGAGGCTTCCATCAAATTTACCCTGTAGTTTTAAAAATTTATCATTCACCAGAATTTACTACCCGCAACAACACTGATAAATCCTAGAATCAGTAGTTTGCATAATTTGTTTAGTTGTCCGATGTCCAGTTTCCTTTCTGATTTGGAACTCCAGACTAGCTGGAGAAGTCCATCAAAACTAGGCTTCTATTTTTCTTTCAAAAAAATTTGAATTCGAGAAATCAAAAAAAAAAACCTGTTGCGGTGGTTGATTGGGACCAGCTGTAGGTTGTTGTACAATGTAAAACTGATTAGTCTGCTGGATACCGGTAGGTTGAATTGGTATTGAAGGGCCTGGAAACACTGCTGCAAATCTTGATAAAAAGAAATGATAGTGGGAAATAATGCGAACGAAAGAAGGTGGATTAGTTTGATTAAAGGAAGCGGAATACATACTAAGGTACAATACTTGACTAGCTAAGTTGAAATGTGATAAAAGTTCCTGCTTAATTCAATTTTCATAACCCTTCATGTAGTTGAACATATTTCATCCTTCTCCGTTATTAATTTTGAAAAGACCTATACACTGTGCTTTCGGCTGTTTAATTCACCTGTTCAACAAAAAACAGATATTGCAGATTTGCTCCAGAGCAAGCGAGTATATAATTCAAAATGAAAGATAAGAGGTTTAGCTCCTTTATAGTTCCGAAAAAAAAATTTGCACAGATAACTGCAGAATGCTAATTTTCTGAATAGGAGGAATCCTTCCAACTGTTCCGTCACGTTTTGCCTCATTGTAAAGTGACTGTAAATCTTACTAGCAATTGCCGGCTGCTGTATCACCAAGAATTGTTGAGTTTGTCCTGGTCCTGTTACCGGTATGAGCTGAACCTGGGTCGGTTGCTGTCCATTCTGATTTTGAGTGGCAATTGGTATGAATTGCACCTGAAAAAAAGTTTTCAAACAAAATGCACATGTCCTTAAAGTGGAGCAATTAGGAAAGTTATGCTTTGAATATGAAGCTCAAATTCTGATTTTTAATGCAAAGAGAGAGAAAGATAACTGTATCGGAGATGGATGAATGACATTTGAAAATCTGTGTTTTTAGAATGTAAGGGTTAGATAGGCTTTTTTGAGCAGGTATATTTTGTTAACTTTTCAAGTTTTTATCGCTTTATCTAACAAAAATAATGAAATTAGACATGGTTTTAACAGAACTGCAAATTAATACCAAATTTGGGAGAGAGTTGCGAAATAGGAGTATGCGATGTACCGCCCTGTGCACCATTCACCTTCCATCCCATCTTTCCGTGATCCCATCTTTCCGTGACCCGGGAAATAAGTTTGGTAAATTAGGGGGTTAAGTGAATGAAGCTTTACCTGCTGATGTTGTATAGGCGTGGCCTGAGGCTGCGACTGCTGTATCACGGCAGGAGTACCATTCGTACCGGCATTACCGGTGATAGGTTTCGGCAGTATGGGAGTGTCCTGCGTCGCTGGAGGTTGTGTCGTGGAGGGTAACGGCGCTGCCGGATTGGACGATGGCTGCTTGGGTAGGATAGGGGTGGTCTCAGCCATCGCGGGGCGGGGGCCACCTGTGCTACTGTTGCAGCTCCTTTCTTATACGGATCACACTAGGCGGAGGCAGGCCGTGCTATGACCTGTCAACCCTTCCGATTATACGTCACCACACACTTACGTCTATTTGCTTGGGGTGGCGCAAGCCTACGCAACGCTCTGACAATTAGAGTAAGGATTGTCAAGGAAGAAAGCACACCTCTCTGGTAGTCTCTAACAATCGATTCAGTCAATTCTGGTGGGATGATGGGCGGAGCATGGAATTAATGCGGCCCAACTCGTTGAATGGGTGTGTTTCTGTAGCGAAAATGGGCGTGGCATCGTACTCATGCCAGAGACGACCTATTGCATTAAGGAGTGGGTGATACTAGCCATCGCCACGCGATATGCCTTTCCGGTACCAGACAAGAACACAAGCTGTTGTTTTGATGCTACTTAGCAGCACTGCACTGTATTACTAATCAGAACAGACATTTGTACGGCTGTGCAGCTTGCAGAGATCCGCCGTGATAAAAGTTCATTGTGGATCATTTACTCCGCTCGAGAAATCTCAGGTGAGTGGGCCACAGTTAAATAGTTTGGTGGGTTCATAAGATGTTGTTTAACAAGACTAACTCATGAAGCTGATCTTTCGCGATGACTTGTGGTGTCACATTGAGACGCAGGAGCTCATTATCAAATTTTTTGTAGGTTCGTTATTGAATCTCTTAGATCGAACTGTCCACACTTTGTCCCCAGAGTAAATTGTCCCGCTCATGGCTGTTTTGTTCTTGACGTTTATTGTACGTTTATTCAACAGGCAATATAACTTTAACAAATGAACAGTAAAGAACCACAAAAATTCCTTTTCCTTGCTCTCCTCCTATGCATTTAAATTTTAAATTCCTACAATAATGCTGAGAAACAAAAAATGTATGAGTATCACGCATGCGCTACCAAGCTCCTATCTTGCATCCATCTTCAAATCAGCCCTAACACTGTAAGTCATTCATTTCGGACTTTGTCAATTGAATCACCCAACGGCACTTCATTTCTTTTTAGTCGTAAGACCAGCACCCGCATTAAATTTAAACAATATTATATCACCATCTTCAACAATATAATTTCTGCCTTGTTGACGATACTTTCCCGCTGCCTTCACAGCAGTTTCGCTGCCCAACTCAATCAAATCGTTTATCTTACATACTTCTGCCATGATAAATCCTTTTTCAAAGTCCGTATGAATCCTTCCAGCAGCTTGCGGCGCTTTTGTTCCTTTCTACAAAGCACAACATTGATTTCAGTTCCCATAATATCGATTCCAGTTGTTTTTAATGAAAAATAATTTTATTCAGAAATTGGAACCCTAAAATAAAAATGTTGCGTCCCAAATGTCGCTTTGAAATTGCAATCAAGCCTACCTGGATTGTCCACGCCTTCACTTCATCCTTACCACATGTGAAAAAGTATTCAAGTTGTAGCGCCTTGTAACCGGTTTTCACAATTTTATCCAGTGCGCTGAAATGAGTTGCCAATAGACACGAAAGAACAAATGAAAGGACATGAAAAAAAAAGTGCATAAGCACAAATCAAACATTCTAGTAGATTAGATTCAGTTTGAAAAACTAAGGAAACACACCTTGTTGTATTCTGTCCTTTCAAAAAGGCGACTCGCTCATCCTCTGGCATTTCCATAAGCTTCAACTCCAACATGCCACTAAATGGAATGCAAACTGCGTACGGGTCATTCTCACTCAACCAAGTTTTAATTTTTGATAGCCATTTATTTTTCTGTAAATGAAAACAACATATTTATTTCTCGGAATAAAAAAAAGAAAAATACTAACTGTTTTGGAACCATTCTTGAAATGTTGTTAAACAACGCCGAGGGAATGGAGTTCGTGCGAACTCCATTTGCAAATAATGACAAGAAATTAATAACTCTCCCAAAAAGTAACCTTCAGCTTTCATGGATAATTAAAGCACCGAAACTCTCGAAAATCCTCAGCATCTGAAAGTTTACCTTCCTGATATAGTCCGCTTCCGAGAGATTGATCAGATAAACAATAGGCTTAGCTGTCAAAAGAAGGTGATGATTCAATGCTTCCACTTCTTTTTCATTCCATGTCATCAAACGAACAGGTTGACCACCCGTCTCTAACAGCTTTTTCACCTATAATCAAAAAGCCGGAGTATTTTCATTTTCTTCTGCTTATTAAACATTTTCCTCTTTTGTCGACATCACCTTCAATAGTGTTTCATACTCCAGCTTTCTGCTTTTATCACCACCTCTCATGATAATTTTCTCCATTTTATCTATAGCACCTTCCAGATACTGTAGGTCTTTCTTGACAAGTTCTCTTTGTATTATATCAAGATCCCGGACTGGATTAACTTCACCTTCTACATGCGTCACGTTGTCGTCATCAAAAGCACTGAAATAATTCTGCTTCCTAATCATTATCATGAAGCCATAAGATAGTCTATATAGTAGTAGAGAAGGTTTTGATTTTTGTCGCTTTTCTCCATAAACAAATTCGGTAGTTTTGAAACCGAAAGATCATTACTAAAAAATAATGCTCAATTCATGTACGTTGACTACTTTTATAACTGAATTCCATTCACTCCTTTTCAAATCTCATAAGTGGATGTTATGACTGTCAAAGGATTTAGATACTAATTTATGCTCATTACTAACCGACAAAGATGAAAAAGCGCGTCGCATGCACTAATGTGTGACAGAAAAGCATTTCCAAGACCCAATCCTTCAGAAGCACCACTCACCAAACCAGCAATATCAACAACATTTAAAAATGCCGGCACTCTACTGAGCGGCTTGAAATGCTGTACTAGCCAATCGAAACGGTTATCATTAACGGGTACGCGACCTAAAGTGATAATGAACTTCGTTCCAAGACCAGAAAATGATAAATGATGCTTAGAAATGGCCCAAAAAATAAAAACTCCGTTATTTAGAGGAGATGTATAGAGACGGAGGAAAGATAAATGAAGGAGACATACAGAAATTCAAGATACATTGCACTGAACAAAGCGAATAATATTTCTACAAAGTTAATAATATCTTTAGGAATACTTTTATGATGCAGAAATCCAAAGGCAACTGAATTTTACAGAACTTATAAAGTTTTCATAAACTTGTAAGAAATAAAAAGCACAGAACCCATCCAGTAGTGATAACGACGACCACTGCAAATAAGGAAGTGATATTGAGTATTTTCTGTAATATCAGCGGGAAAACAATGCAAAGACCAAATTAATTATTTCAAACTTACTTTCGTTAGGATCAATTGTACAGAAGGGGAAATTTTCTGCTTGTGCTTGACTTTTCGTTAGTACATTGAAAAAAGTGCTTTTCCCGACGTTTGGAACTCCAAGAATACCCATCTAAATTGAAAATAACCCATTATATCACCTCTACATAATCACAGTGACATAACTATAAAGATATTACAGTCTTTAAGCATAAATAGTAATATTTATTTTGGTTCACATTCACGCATCATTTACAAGAAAAATCTCAACCGATCATAACGAAATAACGGCAGTACCAACTGGACAAACCATGAGGGTCCAAGAAGCTTCAAAAACAAAGAAGACGTTGCAGCATTTGGTCCAACAGAGCCAAGCAGTTCGCATGGGGAAAGTCTAACCACTGGTGGGCAAAATAGGATTTGAATCCTGTTTTTATCAATCACAGGGGAAGGCTATATGCTCATGCATTCATGAAACCATCAAAGAATACAAACAACAATGCATGATTCTGTTGTTTCATAACTGCCAATGAATTAAAAAGTTCCTCTGTAAATAATAATCCCACCAACAGCTTCCCCACCAAAAATCAATATTACTTCGTGAAAACACAATACGGACAACAACCTTTAAATTTGTTCCTATTCGACCCATTAGCGGCAGATGCTCCTCTCCATCACCTTTTTTTTTTGGTGGCATTGTTCGTCCACTTACTATTAACTAGTGGCTGGACCGCTGAAAAACAAAGTCATAATAAGCTTAGTATTGAGTAACGTGTTATTCGCTGAAACAATTCAGATGTCACACTGAACGTGAATCGAATACAGTGAAATTAAATCTACGTTACTAGTTACAACCTATTCATGAAAATTGTTGTCTTTCATGAACACGACCACCTGTAAACAAACTAAAAAGACAAAAATAGACGAATTAAATGCTGGTTGAAACCGAATCTTTACCAACATAATAGAACAAGACAGCAAAGGAAACAAGCAGATGTATTACCTTAATGAAGTTAAGCAAAGGACCGAACTGTTTATTTTTAGGAAAGTAAAAAATTGCTAGTTCAGTTCGATTAAATGAATCTATTTTCGAGCACACTAGCACCGTACAGTCAAAAAAAAATATCTGTTCATTTTTGGGAACGTTAGAAATCGCCAGCTGATGCAAAACAATTTTTTTAAAATTTTATTTGAAAAAAAAGGAACCACATGAAAAACATATGTAAAAAAAAGTGAAAAACAACACGGAGAATAAAATTTCGGGAAATTAATGATACATTGGTCCTCGCGGTGGGAAAACTTGTGGAACAACGAAGGGCGGTGCACCAGGCATTGGTTGGGGCTGCATCATTCCCATACCAGGACCACCAATACCACGTACTGCTCCTTGCAAACCTAAAAATTACGGAAGATTAAAATTAACATCTAACAAAGATGTGATAAGTGAACGTTCTTATTATTTCACTATCTGAATAAAGTCTTTCGAACATACGCTTTCGCTGTCACAAAAATTTAGAAGAGTTCTCTAAAAAAATAAAGAATTCTCTTGAGTGAATAAAGAATTCTTTTCGAACAGTTTGGAACATATAGCCTTATATTATTTTTTTAAAAACATACTGCTTTTCTCGTATACAACAAGGAGCTCCAACTTGAAAGAAATTTATTTCTATGCGATGAAATAATAATAACAGGATTTTCCCCCTTAGTCATGGATGGGCTCGTAATCCATGTAGTACACTTTTACCAGCCCGCTGCATTTTCTTTCTCTCTTCTCATCCAAACAGTTCAAACTGCCATGCTTAGAAAGAAGTCAAAAACACTAACCAGGGGCAGGTCCAGGAGGTCCGACTATGGGCGGTCCTATGCCACGACCAGCTGGTTTTGCTGCACCAGGTCCACCAATATTTCCGGCCTTTCCCTGCTGTTTTGAATCCTCATCCTGTTCGTTAGACTGGACAGTCATTGAAACTATGTGTTCACCACGCAACAATACAAGACCCAGCGTCCGTTTCTCTTCTCCCTAAAAAAAAATACACACAGTGAAACTGCATATAAAAAAATACTAAATAACTATGCCAGAAAAACGGCTATGGGCGATTTGCTGACTTGAATTGCCCTTTTCCTGATGATTACTTCACTCAATGCTCTACTACTTACTGTTGGTACAGGAATAATAAAATCATTTGAGAAACACAGTACAGCACAAAGAAGCATAAATGAAGTTTTGGTACTTCCAACTGTGTGGAACTGCCCAATATATGAATTTAGATATTTAGCTATAAATCACGTTACCTCAGCAATCTTTTTGCCCGGTTTTGGTTTGATCCGACGCAGTTCTTCACAATCGCACAGAAGAATATTCATATGTTTGTCGAAAGCTAAAGCAAATAGTTATTCAAATATATGTGGTCAAAGTGTAATATCCACAAGCTCTTGCTATGTTGACATGAGATGTGGTACTTTAGAATTAATATTATAGATAAGAGTAAGTGGAATGTAATATGTGAATGGATTGCACTGCAACTTCATTACAAATTTGAAAGCTTTACACTAAAAAAGTTGAGCATACCTTTAAAGTATCCAACGAAGGTCCTAGAATCCAATAATACCACCTTCATCTTGCGGTTCAAATGAGACATCATTTTATTGTTTTTGCTAATCGTCTGTAAAAATAATAGTACCGCAAGAAATATTTGAACAAGAACATATTTCGGGACCCAGAGTAGAAGAAATATTTAAATTAAGCAGTGAAAAATTATCACCGAAGACAGCTCGGCTCACTAAAAGTTGTATCATTTGAATTATTTGAATTATTATTGAATTATTGGAAATATTTGGATCACTTAAATTGTCATTCAAATTATTACTTATTCATAACAGACGAATTCTGCTATGAATTAGGAAAATTGTATCGACAGAAAGATGGATGAATTAAATTATTACTAGTAACCAAGAAAAAGATGATTAAATCAAATTGTCACTTACCATGTTGACAGTTTTAGATTCTTTTATTCTCGAATAAGCAACTGCAAATTAAAAACTGCAAATGATAATGGCACGTAGATGAATAAGCCAGAAATACTGCCTACAAACTGATAAATAGCTGATGCTGAACTTTTTTAAGAAACTTGGTAGAGTGAGTTTGCAGATTTCGTGAGTCACAGTAATACCGTTAGAAAATAATGACTCAAACTCGCTAAAAATTGCGTTATTGGAATTATCATTTATTCAGAATAGACGAGTGTTGTTAGGGGACTAGCATGTATTAGCGTCTACTTCAGCATCACTTAGAGGTTACTTAAATTGTTACGAGGATAGTAACTATGAAAAAGATGAAAAAAAGAAATCGAAATTTGCCCCCTAACAACTCTCCCTGTTGAGTATAACCTCTGTAACAAATGATCCCAATACCGAACTGCTTACATTGACCCACCTTATCGGGAACTTCGCAACGGAGGCGGAGTCGACTGTTGCCCCACCCATACGCACTACATCAGTGAACAGGCTTGATAGAGTAAGAACGCAAAAGTTGCAAAGCAGCAATTATTTACCTGCCCTTTGTATGTGCACTGCATGGAAGTTCCGAGTTGTTAGGAAAGCATGCTACAAGTTGTAAAATTTATTCCCATTAACATAGCAATAACTGATTAATACACAACATCGGAGTGCATGTGAACATTACAAACAGCTACTTCAAAAAGAGCAAATCAAAACTGACATTGAAATCCATGTAAATGTAGCTAGATACCCAAACAGGTTGTCACTTTTTATATTTCCTCCTTCAAAAGAACATTTTTGCATTTGAATAATCCGGTGACAATAAGAAAAAAAGGAAGGTCAAGGCAAGGACAGTCATACATGAATGATGCTATTCTAGGTTCAAAGCACATGACTGGTCTTTATTATAACATATATTCTAAGAAATCCTCCCCATTTTAAAATACGAAACACTTCAAAATGTTCCCATTTCAGAAATAAATTATGATAAAGTTTGCCAAAAATATCGGGTAATTCACGTATTTCGTTAATCAATTACGTATAAATGAATTTTGTGACGAATATGTCCACAAACAAAATGTCGAAAATAAAAAAGAATCACTTCAGCCCGGTAGCTTTTTTTGCTGTTTCTTCTGCTTCAGCTTCCATTCTTTCAACATCAACAACTTTAATTAGTTCTTCCACTTCTTCAGTTGGAAGAATTCGATAGTCCACCGTGCGTCCCTGAACAGATGGACTATTTCAATAAAGTTCATAGCATGATACACTACAATAGGACAAACATCCTAATGAAGAATGAAAAAAAAGCAATAATCCCTTCTAGTAAAATATCATCAAGAATCAAAACTCAAATTTGGTGTCTATTTACTTATGCAGAGTAAAAGATGATTATTAACAGCCTCTATTACAACTTACAAGGGCTTTTTATGAGAAAAAAAGAGTAAAAGTAGTTAAAATTCAGTTTGATTCGTTTAAGTTTACTACTGAAGAGAAAAAGGGTAATAACTGGTTCAGTGGACAGCTTCATGACAGCAATTTCGATATTTTGAGCACCACTTTGAACCACTTGCGATAAAGCTTTCACTACCAGTTTTAAAACGCTTGCTTCATCCGCTGCTGTCTCATCGTTGTAATGTTCTTCTAGATATTCTCGCACTGGCTTCTCACCACGACCTGTTGAATTTGCCTGAAAACTGCGTCCGGTAGTTAACTGGAAAAGTTTCATAATTGGAACAGGAAACTACAAACATAAGCCACTTTACTTCATCTACTATGATAGAAAGGAAATTGAATGGACGGAACGTTCCTTCAAGCAGAACGCTGATGTGCAGTATGTAACCAAACAACTGATTTAGATCCATAGAAGGTATGTTAAGATAAATACTGCAAACAGATATCAAGACTGGTATATTAAGAAGTTCAAATACTGTAAATAGATATTAAAATTCTAAACTGAATAGCTGAGCTGAAAAATATCTGCTAAATTACTTTGTGATTATATATATTATTTTCAGTGGACATAAAAACTAACAGAATATTCGTAATATGCTCCTGAAGGTTCAGTTTTGAATAATCGCGGAGTTCCGTCAAAATCAAAGCCACCAATAAGCATCGATATACCAAAAGGTCTTCTTCCTGGGCTTTGCGTAAATCTCTGCAAAATGTAGAAATCTATAATTCTGTCAAGTTTTGCAATCTAATCAGTGTAATGAAAAGAAAGTAATCAAACGACGAACTTGTTTAGTGTTCGCAATAAATCGCGCAATATAGCCTACTGTAACGGGATCTTCAAGCGTCAATTTATATGATTGACATTCAATTCGTGCTCTATCTACTAAAACGCGTGCATCTGCACTAAGACCTGCAAAGACATGCTGATTCTGAAACCATAAATTACATCAGATTTCGTGATGATATTTATTTCATCAATCGTTTGACAAAATTTCCATAAAATTAAGCTATGACCTAATATGAATCTAAACGTAAGTTTTTTTTACTCAAATTATCGTTGTTTAACTTTTGTTGTTCTTATTACTTGCTTTCGTTTTTCCGTCACAGATCATGCTTCGCATGCTTTTAATAAAAGTTATTGTGAATCATTTTCCTCTTTTATGGAACTTTGTACTTTATTATTGTGGCGACTCGTATTAGGTTTATAATCAGATCCAAACTATAGCCGTTTACAAAATATGAACATTCTTCAAAACTTCATATGGAACAGCTAATCAAATGCAATGCAATCGCCCGATCACTTTATAGTGTAAAGAAACGGTTTAATGGCAAACATTTCTCTCTATAGATCACTGTGTGGCCATATCAATCATGTAGATATACTACCACCAGAACATTTCTCTCTATAGATCACTGTGTGGTCATGTCTATCACGAGAATTCGAACTGTACGAGAAAATAGGCAACCTGCAAATGCAAGCATAACATGCTCATCGATGCTATGAATCTTGCGTATGGTACGATCATCCTGCAGTGTTGGTATCGACTTTTTCTCGACACCGATCACAACACAGTTTTTACCTCGCACACCAACCTGGAAAAATTTTGACAGAATCAACAATAATGAAGGAAACAAAAGAATTTTAATAGGAAAATATTTCTTGCAGGAATATTATGGTGAAATCAAAGAGAGATCCGTGACATTGAAAGGAGGAAAATGAGACAACATGCCAAAAATACTGAGATTACCGCAGTTGATCCTTTCTTGACCGCTTCTTGCGCATACTCCACCTGAAAAAGATGACCGTCCGGTGAGAAGATTGTAATGGCGCGGTCATATCGCTCCATCCCTGAAGAAGACATTAATTTACACGTCAGTAAATTCAGTTATAGACATCAGATTGAAGAACCGCAATCCTCACGCTGCCAAAGTTACCTCAGACCGTCACACCTCAACCTGGAAGTGTTATCTCTCAAAAAATGTAAATCATACCGGTCGCAACTCGAGTGCGAACCCAAGCCAGTGTGACAGTAACAGTAGTGCAGCATTACTTCGGATTTTCTCGTTCTTTGCCCATTACGAGAAATTCTCTCTGTTACTGATCCTCTGCAGGCCATGTGTATTATCTCTCAAATCCTTGAAATGTCCGTCATTGTTCATTTTCGTCACCACAGAAAATGTTACGGTGTGTGTGTGTATGAGGTTTACCAGAAGCGAGTGCGAAAGCGGTATTGATCTCTCCGGTCTCTCAGGAAGTCCGTTTGCAAGAAACGATTGGTAAATGGGTCAGTAGTATCTGAAGTGGAGCCACTTCCTGAATCTCATCACTACCGGCTACTGATCTGCTCTTTCCATCATTGATTTCTGTTATGCAAAAATGGAAATAAAACAGTTATTCATGAACCATTCGATTTGTATCTCATTTGTTCGATGTCTTTCGGTAGGTTGCTTGGCACATTCCGAGCTGATAAGAGTGTCCGTTGCACGAACAGGAAAAGGTCACTCGGGATGTTGTCCTCCTTGACAGCTACCTGCTTTAATTTGGGATATTAGATCTTTATGATACCTCAATATTTCAATTCTTTATAATACCTTGATGATGTGGAAAATTTTTGGAGATATATTTGGTTATGAGTAACACAATTGTTTAATTTAAAGGTTTGAATATTCATATCTAAAACCGTTCCAAATTCCTGCTGCCGGTTGCCATGGGAATTTGATCGCTATTGTCCATTTAAGAGTTGTAGAACTTAGTTCTCTGCCGTGCGAAACTTCGCATTTGCGCTGAACTGTGAACTTATATGAAGAGATTGTTGTGTTTGTTAACTAAACAGAACAAACTGGCTAGTTTTGTTTCAGCGATAAGCATAATTATCACGTTGTGTTTGGGTTCGATATGGTGCTCCCAAGATATTAGGGATGTGGAATCACCGGGAGTTCAAGATGACCACTGGTTACTGCTATCTGGGATTGGCGAAAATGATTGCAAGGGTGACGAGAATGACTGGATAAAGCCCTCTGTTATCGGATATTTGGTCGGCCTACTTACCGGCGCTGTTTTTGGTGTCGCTCTATGTGCAGCATTCATTTACCATTGTATCCTTAAGAATCTCAAATTTCTGTAGTGATCAAAGAAAAATTTATCGACTGGGTGTGCTATTTGTAATAATTTTCTGTTAAATATATAACATATACAACGTGTAAGTTCCATTTGTGGCGTTCGTCGTCAGTACTGTGACCATCGTTTCTGTCATCGGATCAGTTTTGAAATAGTTGGCACTGGTAAGGCAAGTCGTGCTGAATGTGTTCTCATCTGCTTAGATCTTACTGAAATAACAAACGCTGTATCGTTACATTAGAGTTACGCTTTCTCCAATGACCCCGGTGCGTTTCTCTGGCATTAAAGCATATCCTTCTATTTCATTCCGTCGAATTTTCCTGAAATCAACTTTCACGTCTTTCCATATCCGGACTGAATTGTTTCGAAGGAAGCATGTAGATAGCAGCTGTTGTTCATCAAGCCGTTTCAGCATTTTGAAGGATTGTTTCCGTTGCGGTTGTTGCGACAATAAATATGCAGATTTTTGGAAGTCAATTTCGGCGCACAGGAATTTAAATCAAGATCCCCCCAGTTGTTTTTCTTCAATTTAGTCGAAGCGCCAACATCTGAAATGTTGTCCGGTGGGTTAGCAGTCGTTCTTGAAGCTTTTTTTTTTTTATAAAAAGAAAAACAAACCATAGGGACAAGTTTCCTGAAATCACATTGGAATCTAGAAGGCTGGAAATTGATTTTAATTTAAATTGGTGTTCATTTATGAGACGATTTCGCATAGATAACTAGATCATCCGGTAGCATTGGTGCACTGTTTTTATTCCGCCTTGTTTTACTAGAGTTCCACATCAGGCAAAATAGTGCATTCTGTTCGCGACTCTCTGGCATTTAGATGATATCATTTACACGAAAACACTTCTTCATTTTTCGGGTTTATAAATGCTTATGACTTCAGTAATCAAGTTTCAGTATACAAACTGATAATGATATTCTTCACTGCGATTCAGTGCCAGAGAATATCAAATCGTGAACTCGACCTATTCCATCCCGGTCATAAATTACTGAAAGACAATTGGATGGTGGAAGATGAGGATGGAAATTGTGATGTCGTGGAAGAAGCTCTATGGAGTCGATACTTTTTTCGTGGCATGATAGTTGGCTTTTTAATTGGTTTATGTGGTGGTGTTTTGCTTGGCTTCCTTTGTTGGCAAGTTCAGGTACATAAAGAAAGCTATAACTTATAAAATGGACTAACAAATTGGCTTTTAGAGAAAGTAACAGCTACTTCAAAATCTAGCCTGTTATATCATGAAAAATTTTATAGGATCTTACTTGGATAAGTCTTCTTCAAATTTATTATACAATCTTATTTCGTTTTCAATGCTTATCCAACAATATCATATGAGAAATGCTCATATTGAACCTCAGCCTGGCACACAACACTTTACTCAAGCCAGTTTTACAATTTCATAGGGGATTTTACCTTCCCAGTTTTATCTCTCAAATCACAAATGAGTAGACAATACTTCTTGCTTCCGACGTTATTATCAAATGTGTTTAATATGAAATTTGCGTCTTTATCACTGTGGTCTTTACTGTATAAACTATTTAATCTCCTGTCTTCATACTCTGTCAGACAACTAAAGATTTTGCAATGATACTTAGACTATTCTCCGAGTGTGGAATATCCTCTCAAACTCAATTTCATCAGTAAAGAATAAACATGGTGATAAGAGCAGTGCCCCTTATATTTGAATATGGCCTGAAAAACTGAACCATTTTTGGAAGCCTACTTTCTTCTCCTTGTCCTTTTGATCCCAATATATGACATGTTGCTTTTGGTAAATAATCATAATATCAGTTGGAAGGAAATCACAGAGTGCCAATTAGGATATGATTTCTGAGCACGGTAGATGGGAAGTTTTTGCTATTTATGATAATCACTTAAAGTAAAAAATGTGCAAATTTCCAAACCATTATAATCTTGAGCCTGTGGTTTGAAGCAATATCAATTTTTAATCATTAGATTAATGATTGGGATCATTCTATCTTAAATTTGAATTTGTTGGATCCATCACATTTCCAAACCCCTTGAAGAACTTTTATTTTAGAATTTCCACTTCCTTTCTTTCAATACTATAATTGTTTGTTAGTATGCTTCGTTTGCAGTACTCTTAAACATTGTAATATTCGTGATGTTTTTGTTCATTAAAGTTTTAAGCACATTTACAGCACTTGAAATTTAATTTTATTTAAAGAAAAGTGCAAATGTTTCTGTCCCATTTTCTGGAAGAGATTGAAGTTCCTGACAACAAATGAATATTTAGGAATTAACTAGTGTGATTTATTATGCCATTCTGCTGTATTCTATATTAAATTTTTACATAGAAATCTTTTCAAAAAGATGCGGACCTTAGAGAGATGCAGAAATATCTGGCAAAGCAGAAGAAGGACGAGAGGGTCGAGAATTCGGTGTATTTCTTGAACGTGGAAGGGCAATGGAAGCGAATTGTCCGTTTACGGCTTTATTTTCTTGACACTTTTTTCACACTTTTTGAATTGGCAATTTTATGCATAAAAATGATTTTTTGACTCCTACAATTTTAAATCAATGAAAACAACGAGAAAATAAAAGATTTTCAAAATATGTATATGTATTGGAAGTCAGATCTCAAAGTTTATGCATATAGTTGTGCCATATTTAATGGATAATTTAAATTTCCTGTACATCTGCTTCTAATTAAAAGATTCATAAAAGGTATTACAATTGAGAAATAGTTCATATTGCAGTTATAGATATGATAAGACTTTGTCATCACTTTTTGACATCGTATGGAAGTGATTTTGGATTAGTTCGCATAATATTTTGATTTGTTGGAGCGATTTGTAATTTCGAGTTATTTTAGATCAGTTGTGAAGAATTTGATAAAAATGATTTGAATGACTGACTTGACTAAAATTGCAATCGGAGAAAGCTGTGATCACAGAGGATTCGTGTCGTACGTCACTACCGCTTTTGTGTATACACTGAAAGTTTTTGAAAATGTTATATATGAAAGCCATATTGGAAAGAAAAGTACCAATTAGATGAATCGTTCGGTACAAATAACATTTTAAAAAATTGCTGGCTTTGCCGTAATATCTTTCCAGACTACTGCAACAGAAAACCTCAATTTCTTATTTATCCGCTAATAACTTTGCCGGGCAAATTAAAATTTCATCGGTTAGACGGTCCACAATTAACCAAATGTGTTCTTAAAATTATTACAATAGGGATGCAGTTTGCAAGTTTTCAAGATATCCGAAAGTTACATGCTAGCTTCAATCAGAATGCTTAGGTATACATAACTAAACTTTGGTTAATAGATTATCAGTTAATCAAACGGCCTGCACGACAGGTTAATTATATTAGTCGACAGATTATTAATTAATTTGTCCGTCTGAGAAACTGACAATTTTCAGATTCGTAACAGAGTCTCTTAAAAGGGAATAAACGTTACGTGACACCTTGTGAGAGCAGGCTGTTTCCGTTATATGATAATTGCTAAAAAAATAATTGCTAACTAAAATTATGCAGAATAGACAAGCTGAAGGAGAACAAATTCAGTCATTTTCTCAGAATTACGTAGAAGAGTGATTCAAGCTTTTCATAATTACTTGGCTTTGATGTGTTGGAAAGTAAGCACTGTATGTCAGGAAGTTTTGAAGTGGCATACTCTTGGACAGGATTATCACTGGTCACTACTGCGTATTTGTATTTGGAGTGATGTCAAGATTCGAGCAATCTTGATTAGTAATTAGTAAAAAGACATTTCAATACTTAATGATTTTCAAAATTTCGGAGCTAATGGAACAGATGATAAAATGATCGATCATTTTTTCTAAATCAGTCTGAGCTAACATCCCATTCCACCATTTTTTTTCAAAATGTCACACATGTTCACAGTGAATATGCTACTGTTGTTTACTTCCCTTTTCTTCACAAATGTCACCTTCGTTTTAGCGTAAATTCCATTTCAATTACCACAAATAATGTTTGCTTTTCGCGCAATATGAAATAATACTGAAATTAATACAGAAATATAAAATATAAAAATATGAAACATAAAAATATAATAATATTTTGGGAAAATAAAGACAGGAAAATACATTCAATGTCAATTAATAGAAGTAATTTGAAATAAATGAAATAAAATTTTAGTTGAATTCATTTTTTTTTAAATAATTTACCATGTTTATATGCTAAAAATGTCGTCGTCATGTCTTTGATATGTTTGATGCTTCCGCACTAATGCCACTTTTATAGTGGCAAATTTCTAATTAGAAATGTTATGCGAATGAATTGACAGAATATCCTATCTTTCCCTCTCATTTCTATAAATCGATATTTTTCCCTCTTAATGTTAAAATTTTCGCGCAACCATTACAGATAATTTCGAAATGGTTAAAATTTCAAATCGACAGACATCAATAACGCATCCATCCAACTGAACAACCAATTGAGGCGACATGGTTCTGCTGTCACAGTTACCGCTGATGTGCTTATTGCTATCATCACTACTACTACTGCTCACATATGCAAATTATGCCATTATAAGGGGAAAATCGTCTGTTGACAATGGTTGGCGTAATCAAATTGTTTTTCCATTCTCCCAAATAAGAGACAATTATTTTGAGGTTTGATGAGTAATTGTCCCCTCTGAGAAGTACGTTCATTTTACACACGCAAATTTATTCGATGAATGCGTAATTCATTGTGAACATGTACAAAATCATTCTACGCATTAATACGAAATATTCGCAAGATCTCGATCTGCTTGTCATCCATATGTAATGTGGGATTAATTTGATGTATCATTCGTGTCTTTTTCGAGGGATTTAAGCAAAAATTTGGTAAATTAATAAGTATCTTCTACAGTTGTTGAATTACATCAAATTGATGATTTATTCATGAGGCTATTTACTAATACAAAAACAAATCTGGAACCCCGTCCTGAATGCTAGTTGACCTCATTGTCTTTTGTTTAACGTATTTGTCCGTCAATTGAGTTTTGGTTCGAGGTCTTAATGAAATAGCACTTTAGTGAAAAATATCCCATCACTATATTCAAATATGTTATTGTATGGTTGCTATAGATAGTCAAAAGTCAATCGTAATAGTTACAGGATTTTCGCGACTTTCTCGAAATTCTCCCAGCTAAGTTTTTTTCGGGTCTTTTGGAAGGAAACTTAGTTTTTTGTCGGATAAAAAAACTCCAAGTATTGTCAATAAAATTATCAAGCGATACATAGGTGGACTAACAATTTTATTCGAACCAGATCGATATAGGAATCACTTAAAATTCATTTAGGATAAAGAAATCGTTAGCTTCTTACGAGAGGTAAACGTCAAATATGGAAATAGAATCTAAAAATTTTAAAACCTAAAAATTATCTCTCCACTTTTGGAATTTTTTTGAGACAGTTGCTGGTCGGTTTAAAATCGTTTTCACAATTTGACAAACAATATTTCATAACTACCTTCAATTTTCTATATGTTGGCCCATATTAAGCATATTTTGGATTGATATTTACACAGCTTTGGATGTTCTCGAATATGAAATGTATTTCTTTTTTGAAAAATGAGAAGTGTTCATTCTATTTCTCTTAAATACCAGTCAAGTATTCAGTCCGAAAAAAAACGGACACTTCTCTGATTTACTGATTACTGTTATCATTAATTATCTATCAAGTTCACTGAATACATTCGCCAGCACGGTTTTTATCTCACATATATGAGAGTCGTGATCCCATCATGGCAGCAAATCAATCAATGTCATAATTAATCTTACGATTTATCATTAATCACTACATTAGCAAAGCAAGCTATACTATTATAGTAAATAATTCTGCAGTAATTACTGATTTGTTAAACGGAATACTGCCAGTGCTGAGGAATCTGTATTATTTTAAAATATCCCGAAGTTCCCCGGACCTCTCATTTATTTGGACTGCGTAAAGCGGAGATGACTACCGCCCATAGGATTAGCAGTCGGGTTCAATCGTTTTATACTGTAACGTCTCTATAAAATGAATCAGCCATTTCTCGTAGAATAAAATTTCAAGTGACTTGTAGCTCATCCCCCCACTGGTTAAGGGTCAACTGTAATTCGCGTCAATTATTTGAATTATATTCATTTCGGGAGAAAATTCAAATTGTACTCTCATATATATCCGGTGCATTTTGATTTTGTTTTGAATTTTTATTTTTGAAATAATTTGATAATCAATGACTTGTTAAATTAATTGTTTAATTATTTCCCTTGGCTCAGATTGTCAAGACTTTTTTTTCATATGAATTTCTTTCTTCATTCTTTATGATTTAGAAATGGTTTTTTGAATTAGTTCTAATTTTTCCAATTTAGCTTTCTGTTCGAGTTCTAACAAACATCATTACTTTCTTTGGAAAAATTTGGGTGCAAATCAAAGATAGCACTTTGATGAACGACTTCGGATCATAATTTAAATTACAGCGAACAAAATTTCAATAAATGAGCCCTATTCATGTTATGTAGTAGAAGGATACGTCAACAGATAATGTAATCATCGACACACTACCTACCGTATCCTTATCTTTCATTCTCCTCCTTGCTCATTTGAACTGCTCGTCATGAAATTCATTTTCAGTAAACCTTTTTTATGAGGGTTCTCTACGATCGTCTCTTGTAAACGAAATTTGATTTGGGTTTGTTGTAGCGTCTTCGAGATTTTTTGAATTCCATGTGAAGCTTACGTGTTCTCGGCTACCTAATTTACATGCCTTTTCTGTACGAATCCTTGACGTTCATGTTACTATGGGTAATAAATTGTCATTTTGAGTTCCTCTCCTTGAGTACCACTGATTTCTTTTTTCATTCTTTAGATTTAAGTATTGCTGTATTCCTGTCAACAAGATTAGGAATACACTAAGAGTTTTAAAATAATCAGATCCTGAATAAATAAATTGGCAGATAAAGTAAGAAGATAATAATTTAATTTGCGCCTTCTGCGAGTCTTATAATTTAGGAATCATTATTGTAAAGATTAGGAAGTGCGGTTTCAGTGCAGAATCCTGGAACATCCGGCGACTGTCTTGTAGTGCGTTCGTTAAGGCTTCATAATACATCTAGTTACATGTAGTGGAAGAGTGTTTGTAAAATAATGTTTCAAGATCTAATCTTTTGTATAACTGTATGGAAGCGACAGTTGTCAGTTAGGATCGAAATTGACATGAAGCTAATCATTTGATAGAAAACAACTGATATCCACTGATCTGCTCGCATCGGTTGTAGCACCAATAGTTTGCACTTTGCAAATGAATTGGAACAACTGTCCCAGGCAAAAATGGTTGCTTTCACGAGTGGATTCTGATGCTAAATCCCATCTGTCCACTTTTTCTCTTAACATTTCGCATATAAATTTCATCTAAACATTTTTGAGTTTTTGGTGAAGAACTGTGGAGAAAAAATGCACTGCTGACATCAGTCATAGTAATGATAACAACATGGGTGGACGACATTCTGCTCTGAGGTCAAAGGTTGTGACTAAGATATAGCAGGTATGAAGAGAAGTTCGAAAGTCGAAACATTTAATAGAGTGTTAAAAAACACATAATGATAGTCTTCCTCTTTTTTTATTATTATTTCCCTTTGTATCTTTGCATTGTATTACCCAGTGGCCTCTTCTCAAATCATTTGTTTCAAAAATTTTCCTTACTTTTAAGGTATAAATTGCGATTTAAACAGCAAAGTTTTCAAAGCCCTGTAGTGCCATTGAATTGTACAAATGCAATGTCATATCATAGTTAGTCTTATGATAGTACTAAGGACGGCTCTAAATGTTAAATTAGGAGATAAGTTTCATACAGCAGAAAGTTTGCTGTGTGATACTGTTGTAGTTGGATGGGGCATATTCAAGTTTATCGGTCCCTTCGCAAATCTCACCTCAAAAAAAAACTTTAATTCACGAATTCCGAGAACTTTGAATTTCATTAGTTGAATTGATTAATGAGTTTCGTAAAAGCAAATGATGGCAGCACTTGGGAAAAAAAAACTTTTCTTGGAGCTTTCATTAATGGAGCAGTTGTTTGCTGGGAAAGAAGAGTGCCCTTAACTCTTTTACCGATACTGAAAATTGCTAATACTTGTTTACAAGCAATACCACACAGCTGACCTTTTCTTAAATCAATTAATCAATTTAAAAAATTTTCCCGCTATTATTACTGTGGTGTATAAAACCTTCTCACTTTCCATTGAAAATTTAAAATTTCGGAATTATAAAATTAAAAACGAACATCTTAAAAATGTTGTTACATTAATCCCTGCACTACTTTTGTATACTTCATCATTAAAGTTAGCAGCCGGATCAGTCCATGTATGAATTATAACCAGAAAAATTGATTTGTCACATTCCATATGATAACATTATAGTTGACTTCATTCCTCTCCATCTCTCTTTCACACCTTCAAAAAACGGCAGAACTAATATTTCAATTTGCATCTTTTGTGTCCATGTCTGTGTGTGCTTGTAGCAGTGTTCATGGCGTATACGGTAGGTGCCAGCTTGCGTCTTTGTCATGTCTCCTTAAGCGCCATCCTTGTTTCATGTCAACTGGTGCTGCATATGCAACAGGACTGGGATATTCGAATAAACCGATGATGCATTAATTGCTTTCCATGTTGGTAACACGGTAGCACCAAATTGCTTTTAATTAAGTTATTCCAATTTCTAAATGAACGGAATACGATCTGTCAGAACTTTCAGTTGGTCAGCACACATTTTAATGGTTATAATAAGCATGCTTTCTTGTTAGGACATCTAATTACAACACTTCAGTTTGGCAGTTGCCTAATAATATCGAGCACATGGCAAGACGATGATACCTGCAAAGTAATGATGGAATTTTCTAAATAAGGTCAAAATTGCGGACCAAGAATGTCTATCTTTCTCAATCAATGATATTTAACGAATTCTGTGACAAAATATATCCTCCACTTTGAGAGACACCTTACATGATACAGTCCTTTCGAATAATTGGACCAGCAACAGTCAACAAAACTTGACTCTTTGTATGCTAATGGGAAGTTAGGAGTAATACTCAACTAGAACTTACCTTACTCCTTACTAAATTAAATTAAATTACCACATTATTTGGCATTTCTTCCATGGGGAAAACCAAAGCGGAAGTATCGTAATGCTTAAAACTTGAGAGGAAAGTTCAAATTTAGATATCTTACTTCATCATATCGTACGTCTGAGAGTAGCGCAATGAGAATTTCCCTCGAAAAGCTTAACAAAAAAAACAGATGTCTCTAATTTGCAATCTCCATAAAACTGTAAACAATAATTTCGTTCATATGAGTCATTTTACAGCTCACGGTCATAAGATGGAGCAGTCGAAAGGCAGCACCGTACCCCATTTCTTTGTTTTTGTTTCCTTGTCCTATTCACTTCGTTGAATTTGACCTCCTTGACCCGTTGTCGGTTTTTTATTAGTAAACAAATTTCGTATCTTCCCTAAAGATTTTTGTTTCCCGCCGAACAGTGTGAACTAAATGCCTATTTGCAGTATGAAAATTGCCGTGATATGTTTGTTAGATAATTTTCGCGAAAGTAGTAAGCTTAGAGGTTAAAATATTGTTAAGATGTAACCGAGGAGACCATCTCTGACGTAGGTCTCGATTAACTTAGATTGTATTTGGCGGTACTACGCTCATCTACCATTTCTGTCACTTATAAGGTTAAATGTCCCAACCGATAAATGAC